CATGGGATTACAGGCTGAGCCACCGAGCCCGACCTGAAGTGCTTTTTTTTAAGTCACAGTCTCACTCTGTCACCCAGGCTGAGTGCAGTGGCATGCTCATGGCCATTGCAGCCTCGATCTGCTGGGCTCAGGAGATCCATCCACCTCAGCCTTCCAAGTAGCTGGAACTACAGGCATGCGCCACCACACTCAGTTAATTTTTTGATTTACTGTAGAAATGAGGGCTCACCAAGTTGCCCAGGCTGGTCTTGAACCCATGGGCTCAGGCAATCCTCTCACCTCGGCCTTCCAAAGTGCTGGGATTATAGTTGTGAGCCACCGTGGCTTATGAAGTATCTTCTACAAGAGATTTCAAATATCTGTTTTTTTGTGTGTGAGTTGGAGTCTCACTGTCACCCAGACTGGAGGGCAGTGGCACATTCCCAGCCACCACAGCCTCGACCTGCTGGGCTCCGATGATCCTTCCACCTCAGCCTTCCAAGTAGCTGGAACTACAGGCGTGCGCTACCACGCCAGGTTAATTTTTGATTTTACTGTAGAGATGAGGTCTCACCAAGTTGCCCAGGCGGGTCTCGAACCTGCAGGCTCAGGCAATCCACTCACCTCAGCCTCCCACGTTCTTACGTTACTAACGGCTAAGATTCTTATCTATAGTGTTTTGCATTTATGTCACTTGATGCTCATATTTGATATAATCTTAAATTACTCCAGTTGGTTAAAGGAAGGTTTGAGAAACATTTAGGTGTGAGCAACAGTCAATTAAAAATGCTAATGCTTTGAACATAAGAATTAAGCATTACTGAGGCAGGGAGGCCCATAGATGAAGATGACTTTCCTGAGTCACTGGTGGTTGTTTCAACATCAAGCCTTAATCTCCTATTTGTAAAATATGCATAACAGCACTAGCCACCTACATTGGTTAGAAAAATGAGGCTTATACTTTGATCTTCTTTAAAGTAGTGAGCTGCCTAATTAGCTGAGTTTCCTTTAATTGTTCCTAGTGCTTGTCTTGATGAAGGAAATACTCCTTAGTATATAAATATTCTCTTCTACTTGTAGAATTGGGAAACAGTAATCAGGATATTGTAAAACATTTGAAAAGTTTTTATAATTCTTTTTTTTTTTTTTTTTTTTTGAGTTGGAGTTTCACTCCGTCGCCCAGACTGGAGTGCAGTGGCTGCTTCCAGCCACCGCAGCCTCGGACTGCTGGGCTCCGGCGATCCTTCCGCCTCAGCCTTCTGAGTAGCCGAAATGACAGGCACGCACTACCACGCCCGGCTGATTTTTGATTTATTGTAGAGATGAGGTCTAGCCAAGTTGCCCAGGCGGGTCTTGAACCCGCGGGCTCAGGTAGTCCACTCACCTCAGCCTCCCAAAGGCGCGGGATTACAGGCTGAGCCACTGAATCCGGCTGGTTTTTATAATTCTAAACAAAACTTGCGACTTACCAATTTTTAATTTTTGATAAAATGCACATAGCATTATTTTAGCCATTTTGAAATGTACAATCAAGTATTTTTAGTATATTCACAAGGTTGTGCAACAGTCACTGCTAATTCCAGAACATTTCAATACCTCAAAAGGAAACCCTCCTCATTCCCCTTTCTCCTCATCCCAGAGCAACTACAAATCAACTTTTTCTAGATTTGTCTTTTCTGGACACTTCATGTAATAGAATCATAAAATATGTGGCTTTTTGTGTCTGTCATTGTTCACTTAGCATGTTTTCATGTTTCATTCACGTTGAAATGTGTTTCAAACATGTTATATTTCATTCCATTTTATGGCATATAGGTATACCATGTTTTATTTATTTATTCATCAGGTGATGGACATTTAAACTGTTTCTTTTTTTGGCAATTACGGATAATGCTATAGGCACTGGTGCAAGTTTTGTGACATTTTCATTTCTCTTGATATATACCTGGGAATATCCAAGAGATACATATACTGGGTAACTATGCTTAACTTTTTGAGGAATTGCCAAACTTTTCCTGAGTGGCTGCACCCTTTTTTCATTCCCACCAGCAACGCATCAGGGTTCTAATTACTCCACATGCTCACCAATTTTTCTGTTTTAAAATTATAGCCACTGCTGGGCTCGGTGGCTCAGCCTGTAATCCCGCGCCTTTGGGAGGCTGAGGTGAGTGGATTGCCTGAGCCCGTGGGTTCGAGACCCGCCTGGGCAGCAAGACCTCATCTCTACCATAAATCAAAAAATGAGCTGGGCGTGGTAGTGCATGCCTGTAATTCCAGCTCCTTGGAAGGCTGAGGCGGAAGGATCGCCAGA